AAGAAACTTAACCTGGTAGGTAAAAGACATGTACCCTGAAAACTTCAAAACTTTGCTGAAAAAAATTAAAGAAAACACAAATAAATAGAAAGACATCCTGCGTTCATGAATTGGAAGACCTAACATTATCAAGATGTCATTACTACCCAAATTGATCTACATATACAATGTAATACCTATGAAAATCACAATGACATTTTTTAAACAAAAATAGTAAAATCCAACCTAAAATTCATATGGAATCTCAAGAGACCGCAAATAGCCAAAACAGTTGAGGAAGGAGAACAAAGTTGGAGTCCTCACACTTCGTGATTTCAAAACTTACTACAAAACTACAGTACTCAAAACAGTGTGTGATACTGCCATAGGGACAGATATAGACCAATGGAATAGACAGAGTGCCCAGAAATAAACCCTGGCATATACAGTCGAATGATTTTCAACAAGATCGCCAAGACCATTTGATGGAAAAGGACTGTCTTTTCAACAAATTGTGTTGGGAAAATTGGATACCCAATGCAAAAAAACAAAGATGGACCTTTACCTTACACCATATTTAAAATTAACTCAAAATGAATCAAATACCTAAATGTGAGAGCTAAAACTACAAAACTCTTAGAAGAAACATAGGAGAAAATCTTCATGACATTGGATTTCGCATTGATTTCTTGGATATTACACCACAAGCACAGAGAATAGCAGAGTCAAACAAGCAGAAGAAATAATTGATGGACTTGAAGGGAAGTCATTTGAAATTGTTGAGTCTGAGGAGCAAAAATAAAAAAGAAGGAAGAAAAGTGAACAGAGCCTAAGGGAGTTATGGGATCTCATCAAGCAGAGTAATAGAAACATAATGGAAGTCCCAGAAGGAGAAAAGAGGGAGAAAAGAGAGGAGAGATTTAAGCAATGGCCCCAAACATCACGTATTTGACGAAAGATGTGAAGATAAACATCCAAGAAGCCCAAGCAGGATAAACCCAAAAAGATCCAAGACACATTATAATCAAACTGTTGAAAGCTAAAGTCAAAGAGAGAATTTTGAAGGCCGCAAGAAAAAGGTGATTTGTCACATGCAAGGGCTCCACAATAAGATTATTAGCTGATTTCTTGGTAGAACTCTTGAGGTCAGAGGGGTCAGACTGGGATGATGTATTTAAAGTGATGAAAGGAAAAGAAAGTGTAAATCAAGAAAGCTATCTGTGGCAAAATTGTCCTCTAAATATGAGAGAGATATTAAGAGATACTCAGATAAAGAAAGCTCATGAAATTCATTACCACTAAATGCTCAAGGAGTCCTTCAGGTTGAAATAAAAAGATGCTGAACAGTAATTTGAAGCCATATGAAGACATAAAGATCTCTGGTAAAGGTAAATACATTGGCAAATATAAAACAAGTTTTTTAATTTTGGCTTTATAACTCCACTTTAATTTTCTGTAGGATTTAAAGGACAAATTCATAAAATAATTATAAATGTACAATAACGGGTACACAATATATAAAGATGTAATTTATGACAACAATAAAATAATGTTTGGGGGGATGGAGCTGTAAAGGACTAGTGAGTTTGTATGCAAATTAAATTGTTATTATCAATCCAAAATAGATTATTATAACTTTAGGATGTTGTATGTAATCCCCATGATAATCACAAACAAAATATCTATAGAATAAACACATGGAAATGAGAAGGGAATCAAACATATCACTACAAAAAATGAACAAAATACAAAGGAAAGAAGTAAGAAAATGAGGGAGAAAAAAAGCTATGAAACATACAGAAAACAAATAAGAAAATAGCAATAGGAGCCGGCCCCGTGGCTTAGTGGTTAGGTGCACGCTCCGCTACTGGCGGGCCGGGTTCGGATCCCGGGCTCGCACCGACGCACCGCTTCTCTGGCCATGCTGAGGCCGCGTCCCACATACACCAACTAGAAGGATGTGCAACTATGACATACAACTATCTACTGGGGCTTTGGGGAAAAAAGGGAGGAGGATTGGCAATAGGGCCAGTCTTCCTCAGCAAAGAGAGGAAGATTGGCATGGATGTTAGCTCAGGGCTGATCTTCCTCACAAAAAAAAAAAAAGAAGAAAGAAAATAGCAATAGTAAATTCTTCCTATCAGTAATTGTTTTAAATGTAAATGTATTAAACTCCCCAATCAAAAGATACGGATTGTCAGAATAGACTAAAAAAAAAAAAGCACAGGATCCAACTGTATACTGTTAGAAGAGACTCACTTTAGATCTAAGAACACATATAGGTTGAAAGTGAAAGGATGGAAAGAGATATTTATGCAAATAGTAACCAAAAGAGAGCAGGAGTAGCTATACTAATATTAGACAAAATAGACTAAGTCAAAAACTGTTACAAGAGACAATGAAGGGCAGTATATGTTGATAAATGGGTCAATTCACCAAGAAGATAAAACAATTGTAAACTCAAGCCACTGAAAATCATTTTTCAAAATTTATAAAGCAAACGCATCAAATTGTAGGGAGAAATAGTTCTAAAATAATAATAGGAGACTTTAATATCCCACTTTCAATAATGAATAGAGCAACCAGACAGAAGATCAGTTAATAAATAGAGGACTTGAACAACACTATAGAGCAATTGGACCTAACAGACATATACTGAAAACTTCATCCAACAACAGCAGAATATACATTTTTCTCAAGTGCACATGGAACATTCTCAAGAATAGAGCATATGTTTCATCACCAAAAAAGTGTTAATGAATTTTAAAAGATTAAAATCATTTAAAGTATCTTTCCCCATCAGAATATAATGAAATTTGAAATTAATAGAAGAAGAAAAGCTGGAGAATCCACAAATATGTAGAAATTAAACATCACATTCTTAAACAACTAATGGGTCAATGAAGAAGTTGCTAGGGAAATTAAGAAATATCTTGGGTCAAAGAAAAGTGAAAATTCAGTGTATCAAGATTTATGGAATGAAGTAAAAGGAGCACTAGGAGGGAAATTTATAGCTGTAAAATGCTTAATTTAAAAAAGAAGAAAGATCACAAATAAACAACTTAATTTTACACCTTAAGGAACTAGAAAGAGAAGAACGAACTAAACCCAAAGCTAGCGGAAGGAAGGAAATAATAACTAGACTAGAAATAAAATAGAGAATAGAAAAACAATAGAGAAAACTGATGAAACCAAAAGTTGGTTCTTGAAAATATCAACATAATTTACAAACCTCTAGCTAGATTGACTAAGAATAAAGGAGAGAAGACACAAATTATTAAAATCATAAATGAAAGTAGGGACATTACCAGTGATTTTATAGAAATAAAAATAATAAGAGAGTACTATGAAAAATTATACACCAACAAATTGCATAACCTGGATGAAATGGACAAATTAGTAGAAACCCAAAACCTACCAAGATGGAATCATGAAGAAATAGAAAATCTGAATAGACTTATAACTAGTAAAGATATTGAATTGGCGATAAAAAATATCCAAATAAAGAAAAGGCCTGGTCCAGATAACTTCACTCATGAATTCTACAAAACATTTAAAGAAGAATTATAAACAATCCTGCTGAAAGTCTTCCAAATTGAAGAGGAGGGAACACTTCCTAACTCCTTCTACGAGGCCAGCATTACCTTGACACCAAAGCCAAAGAAAGACATTATAAGTAAAGAAAGCTACAAACCAATATCCCTTATGTATATTGATGCAAAAATCCTCAATAAAATACTAGTGTTAGAGACTGAATGTTTATGTCCACCCCCCGCCCCCAGTTCATATATGGAAGCCCTAGCTACCAGTGTGGCTGTATTTGGAAATGAGGCCTCTAGGGGAAGTAAAGTTAAATGAGGTCATAATGGTGGGGCCCGGAACTTACAGGGTTAGTGTCCTTATAAGAAAAGATACGAGAGAGCCTCTCTCTCTCTCTCTCTCTCTCTCTCTCTCTCTTCCCCCGTGTGTGTGCACCTAGGAAATGCCATATAAGAATACAGTGAGAAGGAGACCATCTTCAATCCAGTGGGAGAGCTCTCACAAAAACACCAACCCTAGAGGCACCTGGATCTTGGACTTACTAGCCTACAGAACTATGAGAAAGTTAATTTATGTTGTTTAAGCCACTCAGTCCATGGTATTTTGTATGGCACCTCTAGCAGACTAATGAAACTAGGAAACTGAATTCACCAGTATATTAAAAAGTTTCTATACCATGACCAAGTGGTATTTATTCCTGGAATGCAAGGATATGAAAATCAATCGATGCCATACGATACATTAACAGAATGAAGCAAAAATACCACCAGACCACCCAAGTGTAGAGACAAAGTCACTGAGGCTGGAGGGCAAAAGTTCACCACCCACCCACTTTCTATGGCCCTGGTGGGCCTGCCACATAGGCAGAGTGTGAATGGCTGTTAGGGTGCTATAGGCAGCACACCCCAGTACTGCTACCTAGGAAAAGAATCCATGTCACTGTGAGTGCTGTGACTTTCACCAGCACTGGCCCCCATTGTGTCTCCATGACTTGCTGAATATGTGAAGAGAGAAGCAGCCAGGTTGGAGATTTAGTGGAGGGAGGACGCAATTAATAGCAACCAGGAGTCTTACATAACTAAAGGTGATCATGAGGGTGGCATCCTCCCACTTTGTCACATCATGTGACCCAATCTGGGAGTGACATCCCATCACCTTTGCATATTCTCTTGGTGAGAAGCAAGTCTCAGATTCTGTCCACACCCAACGGGTGGGGACACCACAAGGGCTGGACTTATTGGTGCTCACCTTAGGGTGTGTCTGCCACGTGGAGTATTTTAAACCAGAAAACAATTGAAGGTGAAGGTAACTGGTAACAAATCATTGGAATCTGTACAAGACGAGGTAGGAGGAGGGAAAGGGCGCCGAAGCGTAAAGCACAGGTTTGATGGGCTGGTTGTTTTTCCAATGCCCACTGAAATACATACCGTGCCTGACCTTTAAAATGACATAAGAATCCTCCATGTTCTCCCTTAACACACTTTGGACGTTGTTAAAGGTCCCACGTTGGCAGCACTGCTCTCTTCCGCATTCTGAATGGCAGCAGGGTAGATTAGGACCTAGGGCCAAATGAGAGAGAAAAGCAAGCAGATAACTGAGGAGAAGACATTAAGAGGAGAGTTGATGATCAGGTATATAACAGACTATTTTCCCTCTTTAAATTGTTGCTCTAATTTCTTTGAGTAAGGGGAAGGTGGAAGGAACTCTAACGGTAACAAGGACTGAACACCCCACAAGACAGCAGTGGGTGCAGGGAGGGATTTTCCTGCAGAGACCTGGGAGTGAGGAGATGCAGGGCCCTACCTTCTGCTGCTGACCAGGACACACGGGATGGCCGAGTCAGCTCTGCTGGACCACTTCCCTTCCAGGGTCCTCTCTCCCTGCGGTGATGACATTCCCTCCCTGGGAATGCCCTGCTCCCTCTGCAGGAGTGGACGTTCTCCCAGGGTCTGTCCTCATGCGCCTGCAGGGCGCTGAACAGCTCTGTGCAGACCTGCCCCTGTCCCGGCCCCAGTATGACCCTCCAGCCTTCTCAACCCCAGTCCCGGGCCCAGCCTTCCTCCAGCACAGGGCAGAAGGGGCACCTGGATGTCAAGCTGTGGGAAACCTGAGACCATAGTTCCCCCAGAAGTCTCCACTGACTTCCAATCCCTCTTTATTCTTCCTACATCTGCCTTGCTGGACCAGAGGCCAGGGAACAGGCTGAAGGGGCAGATGTCAGAGGGGTTGTGTGAGGGTCTGACGGGGGAGGCGGGTGTGTGGGAGGAAGAACACAGTGAGCACCACGACACTTTGTTCCCACTGTCTTGATTCTTGCTACAGTGCCAGCAATTCTACCTCCATCTCTTCTTCACGGTGGAGCAAATGCTAACGGAGAACAGAAAAAGTCTTAATGTTCTTCTGTAACCATCCCGACCTCCTGAAGGCCCTGACAGGATCTCAGGCACAGCCAGGGTCCATGGACCACGTTTCAGAACTGCCGATTTAGCACAATAGCCTCAGTGGGGCTAGATTTTAGAACATGAGGCAATTTCTCTTTTGGGACCAGCCGCACTTTCCCCTGAGACAGAGCAACACATGAAGTCCTGGATGCGGGGACCCAAGTCTCCCTGTGAGATTATTCTCTCAGTACTGAAATACTATGGAGAAAGGTTCAGCGCAGGAGAGCTGAGAAGGTGACTGAGGATTTAAGACAATAGGACAAAGCAGTGAAAGGACAATCTTCTAACTTCTCAGTCATTCTCGTAGTCTTTAAAAATCGGGCATTGTTTCAAAAAGGATTAACACAGCGGTGGAGTTTGGGATCTTGGGTAGGGCCTGCTTCCAACGTTGACCTTTAACTTGGCCTTCGGGGGTGTTCCCAATTTCCCCAACCACTAAGGGCAGTCACTGTGCCCAGACTGTGGGCAAACACCATGGTTAATGTGAACAGCTGCGCTCCTTCTGGGTGGCTGGAGTCTGGGTACTTGCTGGGCAGTGCGCCTGCACCGCCAGCCCCAACACCAGTCTTGGGCCCTGGGTCTCTAATGGGCTTCCCTGGGCAGGACCACTGCACACGTGGTGATGCATTTTCAGTGGTGGGGGACGTGTGGTCTGTGTCGCCCCTCCTGGGAGGGAGTGAGCACCAGGAAGCCTGCACATGGAGTCCTCCAGACTTTACCTGGGCCTTTTCTCCTTATGATCCAGACTGACTACCTCGTTGTGATAAACCTCAGCCAGGTGAGCAGCTACATGCTGAGACCTGTGTCCTTCTAATGAATCTCTTAACGTGGGGATGTTTACATGACATCGTTGTGCAGATGTTAGATGCTTGCAGAGGGACCAAGCTCCTCAAACAGGCACTTCAGACCCCAAAAGGTAGCTCTGGGGCTCAGATTCAGGGACCACCAGAAGTGACAGGGCCCATCCAGTCCCGAGTTAGCAAACATCTAACACAAATCACCCATCAGCCACTCTTCCTTGATGCCAAGGCCAACGTCAGGCACAGATCATGCCCTCTCCCCCCTGAGCTCATATGGAGCTCGTGACGGGCACCTTCTGCAATGGTTCCAGTGATCCTCTCTCCTGGTGGTCATGCCCTTTTGTTATCCTTCCCCTTGTCGTGAGCAGACTTGGTGCCTACTTCTACTGCTGGGGACACAATGCTCCACGACTCTTTTCACAGTCCTGCATGGTCAGAGCTTCCTGAGCAAAGAGTTCTGGCAGCAACTTGGGTTAAATGATGTTTGAGTAGTAAATATCCCTTGGAAGCTGGAGATTTTAGAAAATCTAGAGATTTATAGAATGTGAATTGCATAGTTCTTAAGTGTTCCTTTTATGCTTTGAGAACTGTACACACCTGTATAACCATCACCCAATTAATACTTAGAAGGTCCCACCACCTCACAGAGTTCCCTTCTGCCTCTTCTAGTCAGTTGCCACCCACACCCGTAGAGACAGCTACCCCATCACAGGCTTTTTATGTCACTCAATAGAAGAATATATATGAGGGTGCTTTGGGAAATCTAAAATAAGAGTTGACGTCAAGAATGTGAGGGTGCTTTGATTAATAATTATATACCATATCAATGGTCTAAATAAGAAAATGAAAGAATCAGAGAGTCCCCACTGAGCCTGATAAGGCCTTTAGTCAAATAAAGCTTCAACTGGATTTTAAAATGGCATAACGGTAAGAATATCTACATCAAATCAGAGTCAATGTCATTCTTTTTTTTTATTGTGAAATTTTTGTTGTACATGATTGTTTATCAGTCACCATATAAGTGCATCCCTCCACCCTTTGTGCTGATCCCCCACCCCCCTTGCCCCTGGTAACCACCAAACAGTTCTATCCGTGCGTGTGTTGGTTTTTCTTCCACATATGAGTGAAATCATGCCTTTTTGTCTTTCTCTTTCTGGCTTACTTCACTTGTCATAATACCCTCCAGGTCCATCCATGTTGTTGCAAATGGGACCATTTTGTCTTTCTTTATGGCTGAGTAGTATTCCACGGTATATATATACCACATCTTCTTTATCCAATCATAGGTCGAGGGACACTTCGGTTGCTTCCATGTCTTGGCTATAGTGAATAATGCTATGATGAATATAGGGGTGCATAAGCCTCTTTGGATTGTTGATTTCAGGTTCGTTGGGTAGACACCCAGTAGTGGGATAGCTGGATCATAAGGTATTTCTATTTTTAAATTTTTGTGGAATCTCCATCCTGTTTTCCATAGAGGCTGCACCAGTTTGCATTCCCTCCAGCAGTGAATGAGTGTTTCCGTTTCTCCACAGCCTCTCCAGCATTTGTTGCTTTTTATCTTGGTGATTATAGCCATTCTAATGGGTGTAAGGTG